GGATAATTCTTTGGAGAAGAAATTTCACTTTTGTATACAACTAATACTTTTGTCATCCTCGGTTTTTGTGTAGTTCACTATTATCGATACAGAAAACTTTTGGCAACCAACTGATAATTACTGGCGTGGTACATAGATCACCTTCTGTCATGGTACATATATGACCATTTGTCGTTGTACATAGATATGACCTTTTGTCATGGTATATAGAAAATTTTTTGTCGTGTTACATATAGATCACCTTTTGTTGTGGTACAGATTACGATGGTAATTTGTACCATGCCAAATGATCATTTTGCATGGTAGTAAATATATATTTTTATATACGGAGGGCTTTGATTTTTGGATGATTCTATATTTTGTATGAAATTATTATTTTAGTTTGGACAATAGTTGGTTTGTATGGACTTTGACATTTAAAGTTATTCATTTTTTGTATACGTATGCAGATTGTGGAATGATTGATATATAGTATTTGTATCATTTCGTTTATATATGTATTACAGGTTGCATGGAATATAGATAGGTTGTAGAGAAATTATAATTTTGTGATAAAACATAAGATTATGTTTTTGGCGATTAAACAATTAGTAACTAAAAAAAAATTGGGAAAATAGTTTGGACGACTAAAAGTTTTGTAGGCAAAAAAAAATTTGAACATTTGGCGACTAAAACTGAAAACAAATGTTGATAAAAAAGCTTTTGCCGACTAAAAATTTGGTAGCGAAAAATGTGGGACTTTAGGCGACCAAATGTTTAGTAGCCAAAGCACATTATTTGCCGACTAAAATTTTAGTAGTAAAAAACATAACACTTTAGGTGACTAACCTTTTAGTAGACAATTTTTTTGACTTTAGGTGACTAAAATGTTCGTAGCCAAAACACAAGTATTTACTTTAGGCGACTAATATATTTAGTAGCTAAATTTTTTTTTCTCAATTAAATGATTAGTCCTTAACAATAAGTGAAGCTTTTGGCAACAAAAAAATTGGTCGTCGAACATGTGCTATTTAATTTTGTTTCAAACTTTTTGGCGACTAAAAATTTAGTCGGCAATTTAATACATTTGGCGATGAAAATTACCTTTCCCGACAATTCTTCTGCGACTACTGTTGTGACCAAATAATTTAGTTGCTAAAAGCCTTCGGTGACTAAAAATTGACTTTTGGAGACTAAAAATTAAGTCACCAAAAGTAAAAATTCTTGTAGTGCTTGGGGTACTAGAGACGGCATGACCTACCTCTCATATACCTCAAGAGTTTCGAAGGAGTTTTCCATTCATCTCTAGGTTGGAGTCGAATAAGATGTTTTTCAGATTAAGTTTGGTGAATACCGTTGTGCCACTCAACTAATCTATCAAATCGTTCAATCAGGGAATGGGGAATCTATATCGGACGTAGGGATGGCAATGAGGGGCAATGAGACGGATATTAATTCTCTAACCCCATTCCCCTATATTAATTTTTCCCCATTCTCCATTCCCCATCTCCTATGGAGACTACCCACTCCATCAATAAACCATAATAAATAAAAATATAAATAAACCATCTTCTCATCAATAAAGCCTAGGCATAACTCGAAATGAAACAAATCTTATAACAGGGAAAACAAACTTCAAGAAGTTCTAAAATTGTAAAAAAGAACCCCCCCCCCCAAAAAAAAAAAAAAAACTAATTTTCTGGATTGATAATAAATAATGATACTAAAAAATGTTTCATTTGCTTTTTGTTTGACATTTTACTTTGAAACAAACTAGCCTTAGTTAGGACAAATCGGTAATTCAAAATGAAGAAAGGCAATGTTAGAAGCACAATCGAAAGCAAATTCACATTTGGTATGAAATACACAGAAGAGATTTAGAAGTTGTAAAACGAACAAAGCCAAAATTAATTTTTTTTTTTTAAAAAAGGGTGCACACACACACACAACAAATTCAATCGTAAATACAAATATATACATACATGTATATATATATATATATGTATCCATTTAACCAATTATTGAAGGGTAGAACAACAATGGAACTAAAAAAAAAAGTAAAAAAAAAAGTCTTTTGCTGGACATTCAGAACCCTACCACCATTAAATAGAAAACAAGAAATATAAAAGCAGTGAGCTCTCGATTGGGACACAAACGGCGATCAAAGCCTTGAAAATCAATCAAATAGTGGAATATAGAAAATTAGAAAAATGGTACTATTATATAAAAGCAACAATAATTGATTTGACAATCGATAAAGATTATTTATATCAGTCAATTAAATTAATCACAACGATAAATTAGGATTTTATAGATTCGATTAGAAAAGAGAAGGCTTTTTTGTATGCTCAAAATAGAATGGAAGAGAAGTCTTCCTTGGTTCCAATCATTCCTTCGTTCCATAAATTATTGAGAGAGAGTAACCATATGGGGAAATGGGCGGGTACCCATCCCCGATGGAGATTTAAAGAACACCACTTACTTGACTTGATGGGTAAGGAAAAAGGTGAAAACCCATGTATTTAAGTTGGATCTCCATGGATACTAACAAGGTAGGTTATTCATTACTATCCCTAATCGGACGGTGGGACTTATGTCCCGAATTAGTTGATCTATTAGGCCAGATGTTGAATTATGAAATTATTATAAAAAAATGTACAAGTGAAAGGAATTGAAGCAAAGCAACAAAACTAGACATGAGCAAGAATAAAGTTACGAGGTTAATTAATCGATCCTTACATATACCATTATTTGAGCAGTAAAAGAAATGGATCTTTACACACATTAATTAACACATACATATATAGGTATACTTATATAGGTGTAATTGGTCTTCCCTAAAATCTCATTTCATTTCAAAGATGCATTTCAATCTCCAACTTCAATTTCTAGACAATCTGTTAGAAATTGGGCGCCCATGTGGCATGGCCCTTAGAACCTTTTGAACCTCATCCAAATGGGTTTTGAATTTGAATTCAAACCTATTTGGATAGCCACTCAGGATATATATCTATCATATCATGATATGGATAGATGATATAGATATCAGATATTATCTCATTTAACCAATGGATAAATGAGATAAATAGATTATATATATGATATATGGGATATGGGTGATGAAGTGGAAAAACAACGTATGTTTGTTTTTTTTCTAAGATACTGACTCTCTCCCAAAATAACGATCAAAGCCATTTGCACTGTGGTTTGTGTGGGTGATATTCAATATTGTAATATCACTTCACTGCTGGGTTGATTGACTAGATTCAGGAAGCACGTGATTTATCCACGAGGTTTTAGATCAAAAAAAGGTATGATCTAAATATTTTATTCCGCTGCATGTTTTATACTTTGATTTACATTGGTATCAGAGCCATTGATGGATTTTTTTGTGTTTCCTTTAATCATGTGTATATTTTTACATGTGTATGTTTACATTATATACATGAATGTTTGTAAAGGAGGAAAAAAATCTACTTTCATTAGATTAAGAGCATAAATATTTTTTATGTTCATTAATGTCTTTTTTTCATACCATAAACGGTTTTATTTTGAAAAAAGGAGTCCAACAGTACAAAAATCGGACCAAAAAACACCCGGGAAGGCGGCGCGTGTGATTCACGCGCTGTATGACGCCTCCCAGCAGCGCCACGCGCCACCATTTTGAGGGCGTTACAAACTCGATTTGTTTGCAACCCTACGAACATGTACTCCTCCGTCTTATATACGTCAATATATATATATATATATATAATTAATAAGAGGGGAATAAGGATAAGCAAACTGAATTGATAGTAATACAACTCAAACTTAGACATCATACCTGATAAGGGAGTGCCTTATCCACTAGTTAATTAATACGCTAAAGCTATGGATGAGGGGCTGTTGTTGTGCCAATGGCACAACAATGACTGTTGTACCTCAATTTGAGGCTCATTATGGGCTTATTTTTATGATCCGAACTGTTCATTTTGTAGAACTCGTCGAGTACTTCAAACATGCCAAAAATCATATTAATCGGATATTGCTTATCAAAAATCATATTAATCAGACATATGATCGGATTACATTTATTATAAAATAATAATAATAATAATAATAATAATAATAATAAGTTTTCTTTTGAGAAATAGTCTAAAAAATATGTAGTTTGATCATGTAGCTATCGATATCCGATCAATATAATTTTTGGTATGCACGAAGCACTTGATGAACCTTACAAAATAAACGGTTCAGATTATAAAAATAAACACATAATAAGCCTCAAATTGAGACACAACACCCCATACCCTGAAACTATGGGGTTAGCCTTAAAAGTAGAGCTGTTAAATAAGAGCTACTCAAGTATGACTTGTATTTGGCTCATTCAAGATCGGTTTGATATATAAACAAATTTAGTTTGAATACATTATAGAACTCGTTAAGTTATCAAACTAAATTTGAGCATCTACTTCTTAGTTTGATAAGCTTATATCCAACAAAAATTCAAAAATAAAATAAAATCAAGTAACTCGAGATCGATCTATGTTAGACTTATTAAAAACTCATTTGAGATCAACTTATTATATAAACAAGTCAAATTTGAAAATATTTTAAAACTCATTAAGTTCTTAAGCTAAACTTGAATAATTTAATACACAACTAGTAGCTGATTTATAATTTTACAAAAGAGGGAGTCAAAAATGAAATATTTAACTAGTGGCCCAACTTCCGAGCTTCATTCTCCTAATTAATCGGAGCAAACGAACTAATTGATTAGCTAATGGGCTAGGCTTCTCCAAATGCAAATTTGAGGGTGTTATTCGGACTTATAGACCCATCATAGGTTAATTTCAATGATTCAAATAATTTATTTTGTAAAGTCCTTGACTTTTATGATCCATGAAAAAAATTCTCATAACCGTAACCACACAATTCAAGTCCAACATATCAATCAATTTCAATTTAAAAATCACTCTTGTATTATTTTTTTCTTAACATACTATATGCATTAGTTATAATATTGAAATTAGTCAATTACTCTAACCTTGTGTTGAGATTTTCCAATTATAGTCACCATTGACGGCCCAAAAGAAGTACTCGCGAAGCCCAAGGGCTTGAGCAAATTTTATCTTTACTATTGTTGATTTGGTATCATCGTACCCAATCCATGAAGTCCCTGCTATAGAATACGTGGACACCGTCTCCATATCATACACCACCATGGCATTATTCACCTTATTGAATGCCTCCACCATAGAGTATGTCAAGACACCGTCCGATCCAGGGCCCACGCCAACAGTTGGAGCTCCAACATCGTGTGATCTAGGGTCCTTGAGCTGCCACGTTCTCCCATACAATGGTAGGCCCATGATCAACTTGCTAGGAGGGAGCCCAGCCGTGATCCATGATTGAAGCCCATAACTCGTGCTCACATTACTTTTTGGGTCGAACAATGCAGCTTGGGCCCCCGTTGTCGAAGTCTCCCATCCTCCGTGGTAATCGTAACACATCGCATTGATCCAGTCCAAGTTCTTACCAATCGAATCCACTGGGTACGAGCGTTGGACATCGTAGAGGAAAAAGTCCACGGAGAAGTACATGGCCGCGGTGAGCAAGAGAGGGGCCTGGCCCGTTGCTTTGGACTCTTTATGGACCATAGCCCGCCATTCATGGAGTAAGAGGCCCAAATTTTCCATTTCTTTTGGGTTTTGAGGAGATTCCCAATCAAGATCAATACCATTAAAACCAAACTTTCTTGCTACTTCTATGGATGACTCAATGAAACTCCTCCTTGAGTGACCACTAGATACCATCTTGGAAAAGATACTCAGGTCTTCACCGGCTCCACCGATGGAAAAAAGTGTCTTCACTGGAGGTTTCTTTGCATGGAGCGTAGACGTAAAATCCAAGAGCATCGAGGCTGTTGAATTTGAGATATCAAACTTGAAAGTGACATTGTTAGGTGAAAGAAAAGCATAGTAGATGTGAGTGAACAACGTAGTGTCGATGGATGACGGAGGCAAATCCGAGGCCCCTGAAGGCCAGTAAGCCCCTTTGATTACGTCAGATGGTGAGGTTGTGGCCATGGAACAAGAAGTAGTAGTAGTCAAGATAACAAAAACACACAGATAGTAGTAGTAGTTGTAGTAACCTTTGAAGTCTGCCATTGTTTTTTTTTTTATTTTTTTGTGTGGCTAGTCAATGTAGTACTCACAATACTATGGGTTTTTGAGTACATACATATATATATATATATATAGAGAGAGAGAGAGAGATCAAAGCCTTCATGCAATAAGGCAAGTGGGCATTGTTTTATAGAGATTTTTGGAGTGTTGTGTTTAGCTATGTCTCGTAAGAAATTTTGGATATAGTTGAAAGAAGTTGACAACATTATGGTGTGAAGAAAATGTTGGCTTGACTAGTATTGATGGGTTAGGTTATAGTTTATAGTGCTCCAATTTGATTTTTATTTTTATTTCTAGAAAGCCGTCCATCACTAGTGGGACTAATTCAACATGGTGATCAACCAAAAATCAAAAGAGGACATATGGATAATGCCCTATGCAGTGGATGACAAAACAACGCCCATAGACAAGGTGAAGTTAGCTCAAGGTAAATAGTTTTTCCAAATTGAAGTATTAAAAAATCTATAGGTAAATAAATAAATAAAAATTTGGGACAATTGGTGCACAATGGTGGCAGGAAAAGTTAATTACTCATTAAAAAAATATTATAATTTTAATAATTAATATTTATAATATTTATCATTATTTTGCAATGTTTTTTTTTTTTTTCTAACACACACTGTGATATAGTTTTTCCGAAAAAATTTCACATCATCAAATATGTATCTTTGACTTTAGTCAAATAAGAAACAGAGTAGAGCAATCTCTCATGGGATACAAAAAGATCTCATCATTAGATTTTCATTATATAGATGATCTCTAATCCTCACTCAGATATTTTATTAAATTTGAATTTGATAAAAAATACTTACTTTTTAGGTTTCAACTATGTCATCAATCTCATATAAAATTAAGGTAAAATAAAAAATTTTAACAAATTAAGGGAGAATTTAACCTTTCATCAAATTTCATAAGTGACCATTGGTGGATGATCGGGCGGACGATCAGCCGAACAACCGGGTGGATGATTGAATTGGAAAAGATTTCATGAAAATTTACTCTGGGCTAAATGACAAGCCAAATTTAATGAAACGATTGGAACGTATCATATCAGATCAAACTTTTACTCGAATTTGATGAAACGTTAGAGATGCTCTTAATTAAGACAATTTAATAAAAATATTTTAATTGTGAAGGTTAGAATGTTGTTATGAATTTTAATAATATTATAGTATAAAAAATAAAATTACAATATAAAAAATTATAAAGAACTCTAATTAAAAATTTTACTTCAGACTTCAAATAGGCTTTGAGATGCCCTTGGTCTAAAGGCCACCATGTGTTTTGTTATGATGATTTGATTCATTATTCATGTGTATATATTATTTGTAAAATAAAAATTAATTAATTAATTAATAAAAATAATAAATCTGATAATTATAAAAATACATATTTATCATATTTGTCTTGAAAAAATATATAGTAATTATGATTTCGAAAATAAACCATTCACCATTTTTTTTGTTTTAAAGATAAATATAATCCAATTTCATTTTGTTTAATACATATAGATAAACTTTTAAAATGAACATATTAGATCATCGAAGTAAAACCCATGGTTAGTTTACATGCATGGACTGCATGAGTGTGGACTGGAAATATGCCATTTTCGCATATTAGTTATATTCTAGAGCTTTGGACGCCAACATATTACAACACTAACCATAGGTACAAGTCAATTAATTGATCAGCACGCCTAAATCATCTTTAATTAGATTGTGTTTTGATGATGTGAACTATTGTGAACAATTGAAAATAGGATCATGTTTGATTTGAGGATAGGATGAGATGGATAAGATATTCTGATGAAGGTATTTTAATCATTATAGAATAGGCTATTTACTATATAAATTATATTTTTTATCCTAAAAAATAATATAATAAATAGGCCACACTATCTAAAAAATACATGTGGATATTGAGAGATTCAAACCTTAATATAAAAATGAAATAATAAATGAGTTGGACAGTCATGAAATAATATTATTCTCATTGTGATTTTTTTTAAAGCAAGTCTTGAATATAAAAAAAAAAAACTTGTATCATATACAAAAATAACATATAAAAATGACTTACATTCAAAAAGATTATCATAAAATTGAAATTATTTTATTACTATCCCAATGATATTTCCACTAATATGGTAGTTAAAATGGCATGACACAAATGGCAGTGCCCATGTTAATTGATTGGCATTGTGAATGTGATAGCTAGGTTTGTAACCCTATTTCTACGGGGGATGATGGGTGAGCACTAATGGATTTTTATTAGCTTTTGTGCTTGTACTCATGAGCTATATATATATAGCTTGTTTGGGAAGGAGGGTTGGGTTGGATTTGAGACTATTTTAGTCACAAAAAGACAAAATAAACTTTTTAACTTAATAAGACAAAACATAACATCCAACCCATAATCATTATATTCTTTTTCTCACAAAAAGTCAAAAAAATCAAAAAATTCTTTCTAAATAAGGTTTTTTAGCCTTAGGTTAAAATAGACAAAAAGTCATAAAATCAACCCACTTCCCAAAAGAAGCCTTAGCAGGCATTACCCGTACCATTATGGTTTTACTTTAGATCTGTTGAATTCATTTGTTAATCATTTTAGTTTATTATGGCCTCTGTTAGAACATGGGGTCAAAAGTGCAGTGAAGCAGTAGTCACTTGAAAGGTAATAAGTAGAGTTTCAAAAAACTTGGACAACTCACTTGCTTCTATGGCTGGAAAAGTATGTACATTGCCAACTTGTATTATAATTAACTAATCAACCACACACAAATTAAAAAAACAAACAACTAATGAGTTCAAATAAACAGAGAAAGGGAAACCAATCCCCGTGCCTAAGGCAGCTCCCAACCACTAGGCTACCCTTTTGTCTCAGTCGATGCCATACCAATAGGTGTAACTTGTCTCATGGCTCAACATCTAGTCTAGTTAGTCATGGGAGAGATGAAAGTCCCTACCAAGAAATCATCACTTCCAATAAATCATCAACAGAATTGGTTTAACTAAAGCAGAAATACAACCAAAAACCGATTAATTTAAAATATCAATTAGATTTGTTGGAGAAATATTAAATAATTACCATACAAATATGCAATGAAAATTAAGGAAAAGAAATAGAAAAAGAAAGAAGAAAGTAAGGACCGACAAAGGGGGACAACTCATATGAGGTGGTCAAAAGCTCCCTCCTCCATGGGCTTGGCTTTGCAGGTTAGTTACCTCACCCGAGAGGCATCACAACCAAGTTTGCCGCCCACCCCCATATGTATCCTTCATTTGCAATCAAAACTGCCTATTCATCCAAAAATTTTGTGAAAGTTACAATTTTTCATTTACCTCAAGCACCACATAGATGACATCACATGATACTCCAAAACTACCTAATAATTTTCCTCATGCATGATTTTTCAAGGGTCCTTGTGAAGCATGGCAGATTCAAATCATTTAGACAATCCTTCTTGATGATGTGTCTAGACTTATTTATATAAATGCATAGTTGGTAGTGTATGAATATATTTAAAATTTATTCTATAGAGTAGTCCCGTAACCGTGTCTCAAAAAATTCCTTATTTGCAAAACTAAAAAAATAGTATGAGCAACTTAAAACTTTGCTCACTTCAGCTCATTGTAGCCCTATCAATTGGTCAAATTAAAACATTGACTCAATCCAACAATTGAAATTTTTTTACATGAATAAAAAATTATTCTTTCACCAATAAAAAAAATTACTACCTGACCGAGACATTTGATCAATACATATGACATGGTATTAATGAAGTGAAGGAAATCGACTTGAATTTGACTGTCAACAGTCTTTTAATTCACATCCATAGTGCCAGCAAAAATACGTGTATGCAATTTAGTTTAATTATATATAAATGCTACTTCACCAATTAGAATTTAGAACCCTACTTAAAAGGTTAATGAGTGCATATAAATAGTCATTAATTAAACTTAAGGAGACCTAAGCTATTAAAACATTAAATTTAAAAATAAAATAAAATAAAGTAAAATTGGGTACTTCCCTTTCCACACTAATTAATCAGTTTCTACTACCAAATGTACCATTAGAATCCATAACTTAAACCTGAATTGAATTCACTTCTCGTTCTTCATTTGAAACTCATTGGCTTTATAGTACTCCTCCATCTGCCATGCATGAACTTGAGAAGGACCACTTGCCATCTTCAGGTACTACATATATGGTGACATTGTCTGCATGCTTGAACCGCCATAGTAAGCCATAGAGGGTGAAGGATGATGATTTTTACCAACCTCGTTCTCCATCATCCTAGACATTGAAAAGGACGACTCAGTGCACGAGACTCTTGTTAAAACAGACTCTGTGGAGGGCAACAACATTATTGGATCATAATATATCGAGTTCTCTAGTGGATCAATGCACTGCAAGTTGCTGCTAGACATACCGCCAAGTTGAGTGTAATGAGTGTCATTAATGTTGTTCATTGGCATCATCATTGGACCTTGCATGAAATAATTTGAATGGTTTTGTTGAGTTGTTTGTTCCATATCATTAAGACTTGCCAATGCTCGAGTTCCCTTCATGAATTCAACCCTGGCCTTCACATCTGCAAGCTTACCCTCCAACATACCTTCAAAGGCTCTCAACTGCCCCTCCGGCAAGTCATTGTAACGATCATCCCACGTAGAATACAAAGCCTTGTCATTCTTCTTACGTAGTTTGACTAGCGCGTCTTCAATCTCTTGGTTTCGGTTCTCAAAAAAGTTCGATAAATCAAGCGTCCTCCTATGACGATCTTTAATAGATTGGTTTCTATAGGTGTCAATCAAGCGTTGAATATCATTGGGATTTTGGGGCCAGATTTCTACCTCTGTGGAATTATCATCTAACTTAGGCCCATAGATGATCAGGCAGACTTGGACATCACATAGAGTTTGTAGTTCACAAGTCTTCTTCTTTAAGCCCTTCTTTCTCTTTTGATAGGTTGCATAGCGAGCCTTTTCGTTTCTTATGAGTTTCATTCTTTGTTTAGCTCGACCCATCTACAAATCTAATAGAAATCATGTATTGATAATCATATCATGAATTCTCATATAAAAAATATTTAAAAAAACAAAAATTTGAACAAACAAATGAGCAAATAAAAGTTGCAATTCATATTTTAAAAGATCTCCAATATAAGGATGAGGAAAAATATGTTTGGTTCAAGCCAATACCACGTAATGCACCTACATCATTCTCATTGGTTAGGCCCCTGTTAGTAGGGTTGTGACCAGGGCCGGCCCTGAGTTTTTCAGGGCCCAAGGCAAACATTAAAATAGGGGTCTTTTATATAAAAATACAAAAAAAAAAAAACCTTCAAAAACACTGATGGCATTATCAATTGAACTAAATTGACACAAAATTTAAATCAATGATGAAAATTGAGCCAATTAAAAATAGAGGGACCAAAATGACACAAGTAACAAAATGTAAAGATTATAATTTGTCCTAAATTAATTCTGTTTCCATAGAAATCTTGCAATTAAAAGGAAAATTGGGCCCGGAAAGAAATAAACAAAAGAAGAAAAATGATTTTCCATTACCTTTGGTGGATGGGCCTACTTGCCTCAACGAGTTATGATTCACACATGTACATCAAATGTTGGACTCTTAACATGAGTTGACTATTTCCTTGGACGCAAAGCGAGATGGGTGAGTGTTATCCACGTTCTGCCAACTCAGAGGAATTTATGTGATTTTATTATTTGTGTAAAGTAAAATAGTTTCCTATTTACATTAGGTTAGATTTTTTTAGGGTTTATTTTATTATAAATGCATGTTAAACACATGATAATGACATTTTTTAGGGAAACTTATGTATAGGTCTTAATAGGTGGACTTATTGTCCAATAGGTCTTATGATAATTAATGATATTTTTTTATCAAACACTATTAAAAAAACATCACTAATTGTTAATTTTTAGTGACAGTTTAAAAATTTGATCACAAAAAAAGTTAATAATTATAAGTTTTAACGACAGTTTAAAAAAATGGTCACAAAAAGTCACTAATTTTCAATTTTTAAAGACAATTTAAAAATTTTATCACAGAAAAAGGTCACTAATTGTAAGTTTTAGTGACAATTTATAAAAATTGTGATAAAAAAAGTCACTAATTATAAATTTTTAGTGACATGCAAAAAATCGTTACAAAAAATAAGTTTTAGCAAAGATTTTATTAAGACTTATTTTCAATAGGACTTAATGGAAATTAAGTCCAACAATTAGGACCTATTGGTAGTTTATCATATTTTTTATTCAGTCATTTTTTAATACAAAATTGCCTTTCGAGTTCTAGTTTTCTTTGTTAACGGTTAGGGGTGCAATCCCAGTGGATTGTTTTTAAATATTTTATGATTCAATCATAATTTTTGTCGTTAGCTTATATTGATTGATTGATTTAAATATTTTTGGATAAAGTTTTTGTTTTGTAAAATTGCTTGTTCCATCGTAAACTCCGAGCATGGTAGAAGCTCAGAATTTATGGTGTAATCAATCAATCTTTTAAGATATTATTTTTATAAAATAACTGTTTTATTTTTCAATTGGAAACACATTTTGTGTGATTTTTAGTTAAGTTAAACGAATTGAATCAGAAATATTTTACAAATAAAATATTGGTGATGAATTCCTAATGGCTTTGTACTTTCATATTATTGGTACTTCAAATTATTTTTGATCAATTAATTCTCTCAAACCATTCAAACTTTTTTCAATCAATTTTATTTTATTTTATTTTCCATCACTTGGTTCTTTGTTTGAATATATTGATCCTTATGGATTTGACCTCCAACTCACCGAAACTTTATTACTTCATGACAACCTACACTTGGGTATATATATTCAAAATCACATGCAAAAAATATTTATTTGATTTGAATCCATAACAATCAAGTCATGAACCCCAGGGGTTTGGCCTTATAGATAAGACTTAAGACTTAGGGATTTGCTTCTTCCAATGTCTCCGGTTCGACTCCCCTTACTAGCAAAACTCTTAAGGTCACGGATCGCAGAGAATAAATCTATTTTGGAAGGCTTGTTCAGGTTGTGAGGAAGTTAGTTTGGGGAGCACAAGCTAGTGCAAAATACCCTACATTATGTAGGCTACATATTAAAATAAAATAAAAGTTATATTGATGAAGTAATATTACTAGACAAAAATGTTCCAAAGCACTTTGCCCCCCTATGGTTCAAATATATATTGCCAGAAAATTCCCATACGATTTTGGATCAAAGTGCAACCGTTAACACTATTAACTATACATGTGAAATGACTGTTATACTCTCAAACGCTACACTTTTTTGTTAGTTTTTTTTCTCTCTCCTCTCTCATACACATAATTTACAATGTCTAATATTAATTCAATTAAATCACAAATTAATTATTGTAATTCTTATCCTTTTATTCTTATTTTAATTTAATTATATTTTTGATCAAAATTGACCCAAAATATTTAATTATTATTTGTAATTCTTAAATTTTTAATTTAATTTAAATTTATATATGACAATTAATCCTAAATTCTTAATTATTTATCGTAATTCCTAACATGTTAATTTAATTTTAATTTAATTATATTTTAGATCAATTTTTAAATATTATTTATTTTATATTTTTAATTATATTTTAATAAATCTTTAATTATATTTTATATTTTAGATAAAGTTTTAATTATATTTTAATTTTTTAATTTTAATTAGTACATTAATTTAATTTCAAGTTTGGAGAAAATAAGGGTAAAATTATCTTTTTGATGTATTAATTTGACTTTATTTTTATTTTTTCAGAAAATCAACCGATCTAAAAAATAGTGTGTATGATACACCTTCTATTAGTTTGGATAGAAAAACTAACAATGATACTTTAATCTAAAAATCATATGGGTGCTTTCTGACTATATTTGAACCATAAGAGCATTTTCAATTGTTTGCCATTAGAGCTGTCAACGTTATAATATAGTAGCTTTGGGTAAAAGGGCTTCTCCAATAATGTCAAAGCTTGTGCCAAATTTGGCACAAACTTTGACAAATGCCAAATTTGCTAGCTTACCCATTTCTCATCATTTCCTAGGAAAAAAAACTCTCCAAAACAAATATTTTTTTCAAAAAAAATAAAATTCACCAATTTTTTAGAATATCATAATTCACCAATTTGTTTATACAAATTTGGCATTTTTTTTTTGGGTTAAATAAACTCACCAAAATTTGCTCAACAAAATCATACAACAACAACAACAATCAAGCAATTTCAAACAAATTTGAAGTAATTCCAAACAAATTTCAAATGATCTTAACAAATCTCAAGAAAACTGAAGCAAATTTTAAACAAAAAATACCTAGATTTGAATATAGTTTATGGATTTAAGACAATTTCAGCATTTTGAAGAGTCGGCTTTATATTCTTTGTTTTCATCTTCTTCAAAAAGTTGATTTGGATGCTTCGAGTTTCGATTCTAGGGTTTCAAGGGTTTCATCTGCTTTTACAAGTGATTTCAAGGGTTTCGACTTGGTTCAATCAAGGGGTTTGGTTTATCTTAGACACAGATCAAAGTTACAACAGGGTTTCAATTTCAAGGGTTAGGGTTTATAGAGAGAGATAGAAGAGGGGTGTGGTTCTTGTGATGTCTCAGATCCTTTAAAGCAAACTGAGTGCATTAATTGGTAATCTCTGTCCCTTTGCGTGTCTTCATTATTGTTAAACCTCTTGAATCTTGTGTTGTTATCAATTTTCCCTTATGGTTGTTTCGATAGGTACATCTTAGTGTGTTCTGAGATGTCATCTTGTACTTTTGGGTGTTGGAGAGAAACCAGGAAGGTTGGCCAATGTTTCGTAGTTCTTAGTCTCACATTCAGGTTGAGATCGCTTGAGCGGTCTTTTGGTCGCTCGATCGGTGAAATCGACCTTCCAGTACTTCGGTTTGCAGTTTGAACTTTTGGAGCATGTATTCTTTGCTTGAGTAAAGCATTCATCGCTCGAATAGTCTTTCATGGAGGGAAATGGAGATTCTGGGAGTGGGTGTTTTTCGTTCGAGCGCAAGTTTGGTCACTCAAGTGATCTGTCCGCAATCAACTGCAAAAATTGAGTTGAATCACTTCAAAAGTTGAGCCTTACACACTTTTCTATCACTTTTACTTCACACAGTCTCTCTACATTAACTCTCACTCCTTTTTCTCACATCTCTCTCTAGAAACCCTCTACCCACTTCATTTACTTCTTGATCTTTCACTATCCATTGAGATTTTAACCTTGGTGCCTTCTTTAATTTTGGAGAGCTCGTCGATGGCTACGTTATGTACGGTGGAGATCGGATTTTAACACCGTCGATTCCGGAGTTTTTTGTCTTTTCTTCTCAAGGTCTTAAGATAGGGATATTCTTTGAGTTACATATATGGTTTTTAGCATATCTTGTTCTTTTCACTCTGATTTCTAGTGTGTGTTTGGTTTTTAGATGTTGAATCAAGAATAAACATTCTAGAGAAATGGTTTATTCCTCATGATTTGGTCCAATTAAGATAAATTATTTTACATATACTATGAGCCATTTGGGGATGTATGCTTGTAGTTATTTTGAAAATCAAGGAAAAACTTTCTTTTGATCAAACCTAAGGTGTTTTGGGAAATTTGGGAAAAAGTGAAATTGATGAAATATTTATGAAATTGATGATAAATCTCTTGAGAAATTGAAGAAAACTTTCTAGGTTGTTATATTGTTGAGGCACTCATGAAAGGAAATGAGAATTTTGGTTGAACAATTATGGAAATATGGGATGTGCATGTTGGCATTTTGGAAAATTGAATAATGGGTGTTGATTATAAATATGTGGTAATCTCATATGTTACATGGATTTGTACCATGTTATGATTTTGAGAATTATTGAATCATGAAAGTTTTACTTGAACAACTGTGAAAACGTTGGCAATATTGTATAAAGAAGATATTTATATGTAGTCAATTCTCACTTGATTCATTTGCATTATCTTGAATTTTGTTCACTTACGATCTTGACTCGAAAATAAATTTTGTGTTTGAGAAAACAATTATTGTTCATGAAAACATTTTGAGGTAAATACGTTTGGTAAGTTCGGTAAGGGGGTGTAGATTAGAAATTAAATTGGTCTGAGTGTCCTTAGTGTAAGACCAGAAACACATACGTGTAGGTGCCTAAACCCTCCGGTTAGTAGCCTATAAGGTAGGATTTTGGTAGTGCTTGATACGTCTACTTGCAGACACTAGCCCTGGAGAATTACCTGAGTCTTATTTACTACCCCATTGTTTAAATCTTGGCTTTCATAA